TATATATAGAGCACGGGAAGTGTGGCACTATACACCGAATTTGTCACTGAAAAATTTAACAAGCACAAAGAGGACTATTTAGGAAGTGTTTTGAGTGCTGGATTAATATTTTAAAATGCACTATATGTTGCACTGTTCTTAAGCACATTAATTTTGTTCACGTTATCATTTTTATAATCACTTGCATATGAGTTTTTATAGATTTATGGAGCGCGGCACATATATGTATCTATAGATATATATAATTTTGTATATAGGTATCACCTCATGCTACCAGTAGTGACACTGACCCTAGCCAAATGCAAAACTAGTGAAAGACAGAAAAGATGAGTAGGGAAAACAATTTCAGTAGCCTCCACCTGTAAGATAATTCCTGTTTTGGGGATCATTTCATCGTTGCCCATCTAGTACATCTGTTGTTAATTTCATTAACACTAAAGCATCAGAAACTGATTAACAACCCCCTCTGCTACTTAACTGACCAGATCAATATCCTAGGAGTTTAATTGACGCTATACTTTGATTAAAAAGTGTTCCATTAATTTTTTTGAGCAGTGTATATTATATTGAGAGCCCATTACACCCTGATAAAACTGTTTAAGATGGGGTCTTTGCCAGTCCCTACTTGTATTAAATGTAAACGTGACTATGGGGATCTAATCCACCTACTTTAGTGCTGTTCCAAACTACATACGTACTGGACAGATATCCTAACCACCCTTAATGAGGTGTTTTAAACTGCTTTACCTGTTGATCCCAAGTGCTGTGTTTTAGGTATCCTGGTTGATCTACAGGTTGACAACTTTATTAAAGAAGCTATTACTAGAACCCTATTCCAGGCCCATAGACGTACAGTATCCTTATTCACTGGAAATCTCTGGATCTTCCTACACATGCTGAATGGGTGAAAGGCATAGCTGTACGCTTAGACAGGAACAGCACAGGGGCTGCCCAGGTAAAAAGGTTGAAAAGATTTGCGGCTTTTGGCTGGACATCCCAGGCCTTAGTCCTATTAACCTTATTAAAGATAGAATCTTATAGTGAAACTGTATGTCCTGCTGTGTCTCCTATTCTTGAAATGTCCTCTTATTATTGCCATAATACTGATGGAGACATTGTTTGTGCTATGCCATGTATACTAATTGCACTGGATTGGTGTTACTTTGTTTATTAGTTTTTTCTTTTTTGAACTTTTCTCAGTAAAATCCATTTTGTTTGGGGGGAAAAAAATACAAATGTATCTGATGGCAGCATTAACTGGATCATCATACATCCATAGTGAATGGGGCATGGCAGCTAAAACCCTGTTAGGTGCAACATGGGTTTTAACACAGGCAACAATTATCTTAATCATTTTGATTTTTTTTTTTTTTGTTAGTGAATGTATGACAAGCAAAAAATAATAAAATCTATTTAAAATATAAACACATGAAGGGGTTGATTTCTGTTCAGTTCCAATGGTTCCTAAATGGTGATCATGTAGAATGTCTCTTAGATGCTACATATCTGGGTTTTATTGTCCTGTTTAACCTGTTCTTTTCTCTGCATCCATGTACATATGATGTGCCTCTGCCAAACCGAAAAGTATGGTGAAGGGTTAGAACCTCACTTATTTATATTGCTGTATGTGTGCCGCTGTTAAATAGATATCTTTCACTGTGATCATCACATGTAGAGGAAGTGAGAGGAGATCTGAATTGTGGTTGACACTGGAACGGGTCTAGACCATAAATCTTCCAATGAGGACATCAGTTCCACTGACAGCTGTTACATTCTGAGACAATTACCTCTGCCATTTTTTAGAGACAGGTAAATCTTCTAAATTGATAAAAACATGACAGATGTGGTAACTGCTCTGCTTTTAGGGAACCTCTATTGATATATAATATACATTTTTTTTTAATCTGTGATTTCTTCTTACTGTTGCTTGACTTTTGTTGACCTCTATTGTCGGTACTGTCAGGGTTACTAACCAAAATCAATATTCAGATTATGACTTAAACCGGGCAGCTTCATCTTCTGGAGGACATCATAAATTGCATCCTGTATATTTCTCTCAAGTTTATAACCTGCAGGATATTTTTCTCACCAGCACTTCTCCAATGAATGACTTTTCAGTTCCTAATATGGGATGCCTAACTCCTGTGTGTGCAATCCCAGAGTTTTAGTGCTCCCAAGTGGAACAGGTGCAGCATCTAGCCCTGCTTGCTGCCTGCACCCGGTCAAAGTCTAGGGTGTGTTACTAGTGTTGCAGGCCCCAAGCGATCGGGGTGAATGCATAGGGCTTACTACTGGGCATAGCATTTAGCCTTGTCCAGCTGCAGTGTTTTCCTCAAGAGCCTTGTTCTGCTAAGCAGAAAAGACGTCGCTTTAAATTCTAGATTCCCTGGCCTCCCTTGATATTCCTTCTATTGGGCTGCTAAGGCTGACTCGAGGGTATAGAGATGGAGGTGTAATGTCTAGGCCTCTGGAGGTGACTGCTTGTCTGGAGGAATGGTCCACAGTCCTATATACCAGAGCAGTTGTGGGCAATTCATTTTCATTCATGTGGGCAGGTGAAACTGGGACTGTTGTGGGGGATCAAACTTATTTCTGCTCAATATTAACTTTGAACCTTGGAAGATCTGTAAGTACATAAACATATAGAAAACAAACAATTGGTGCTAGGAATTATAGGTACGACTGCTCATTAAATAGGTAGAGACAGGTGGTTGGGGGATGATAAAAAAAATAGGCAGCTGAGCTGTGGTTTTACCACCCCCTGGCTTCCCACCAGAATTGTTAAAATAACAGCTGGACTGTTCACTTGCTATGGTATTTTTAACTTGATGAAAGAGTTTGACAAGCAGTGTTACTTGTCAAATTCTGCACCAGTGGGGTCACAACGCAACCGCATGCAATGCACACATTATAGTACAGTAGTGCAGAATTACTGGGTTAAATCAGACAATGACGAGGTGAAATGACACCGCATATCAAATGTCCTCTGAAAACCACATTGCCTAGAAAGAGCCTGAGATTGATACAGCAGGGATTTTTGCACATCCTGACCAGGAGTGCACTATAGGTGCACAGTTCCTGGGTTTTTTTGTGTGAAGGCGCTAACAGGAAGAATTTGTACAGGGTAGCAGAGTGGCAAGAGAGGATCGGGACATCTCACAGGCAGAGCTCTCCCACCAGAACAGAGCCTCCCCACTGTACCGATCAGCCCCTCAGGCCAGTTCTTGCAGATCTCCACATGGACATCTCTCAGCATGTCTCCCTGAGCCTGTCAGCTTCCTCATTGAGCAAGAGATCACAGGCTGAACCGGGACAGCCAAGGGGCCAGATTTGGCCCAGGTGCCACAATTTGCCTAGGTCTGTTTTAGGGGATGCAGGCTATCTACAGTTGTCAAGCTTTTTGGCTCCCATCAGGAACCTCTGGGTTAAAGCAGAATATTGCTGCAGTAAAAGGCCTTGCAGAGAACCTGAGGTATTGTGAAGAACAAATTTGGTATTCCAGAATCCTGGCTTCTCTGCTTGGCCCAGCCTGGAAGTAAGTTTTTCTATTCACAACAGGAAGCTGCCAGAATAATTCAGCAAGATCCTTGCCATTCCTTTCCTCTATGTTGGCGGTGCATAATAGTTTCTCTACCATGCTAGAATTTGCTATGGATAAAAAAAAAGTCCCCACATGGTATCCAAAAATGTATGGGCACATCTCCTATAGATTTTGAATCCCCACATGATATGTATGGTATGATCAAAATGTGTAAACATGTTAAAGTCTTTACACATCCTGCTCTTTGTGCCACAGTGTTGCACATTTTCCACCCCTGTGTAACTTCCTGAGTAGGAAGTCAGGCTGAATACCCCTAATGAAGTCTTGAAATGCAGGGAAAATAAAAGGGGTGGAAAATGTGTGACAGAGACAGAACCAACTAGCAAAAATTACCTACAAGTGAATAACTCTACACCACATTGGCTATATTGACCACTGATGGATTTATACATGTTAATCATATCCCCAGTTAATAGGCTCTTTTCAGGATAGAAGTAAATCAGCTCGGCTAATCTTTCCTCATAGCTGAGCTCCTCCATGCCTTTTATCAGTTTGGTTGCCCTTCCCTGCACTTTCTCCAGTTCTCTGATATCCTTTTTGTGAATTGGTGCCACAAACTGAACTGTATTCCAAATGAGGTCTTACTTATGATTTATAAATGAGCAAATAAATGTATTTCTCTCTCTGGAGTCTATGCTTCTGCTAACACAAGTAAGTAGATTGCTAGCTTTAGAAACTGCAGCTTGTCATCTGCAAACACTAAAATGGTATTTTTAATTCCAAATTCTATATTATTTTTAAATATGCTGAAAAGTAAGGGTCCCAACACTGAACCTTGGGGTACACCACTAATAATCTTAGGCAATTCAGAGTATGAATCATTAACCACTACTTTCTGATAACTGTCTTTTAGCCAGTTTTCTATCCATTTACAAACTGATTTTTCCAAGCCTATAGAACATTGTGTTACACGCTTTTGCAAAACCCATGTATTCTATATCCACCGTCGTTTTTGCTTTAGCCTTATAATTGTTTTCTTGCAAAAACCATCTATGTTGTCTTTTTTAATAAACTCTTGAGAATCTTCATGACTATAGAAGTTAAACTAATCGGTCTGTAACCTACTTTCACCTGTTTACTAATGGCTTTGCTAGGTGTGCGGTGTTTTGGACCTTTCTCTATCAACAGTATTTAAGAAGTTAGACGGACTCCTGCCCAGCCAGCACCCATTGCAGGAAACACCAGATGGACTTACAGGAGATTGAGTGGAGACCTTAACCACTAGCCTACAGGGCACTTATACCCCCTTCCTGCCCAGGCCAATTTCCAGCTTTCAGAGCTGTTGCACTTTGAATGACAATTGCGAGGTCATGCAACACTGTACCCATATGACATTTTTATCATTTTTTTGTGAGAGATAGAGCTTTATTTTGGTGGTATTTAATCACCTCGGGGTTTTTTATTTTTTCTTAAACCAAAAACCACTGAAAATTTTGAAAAAAAAAAGTTTTTTCTTAGTTTTTGTTATAAAATTTTGTAAATAAGTGATTTTTCTCCTTCACTGATGTGCGCTAATGAGGCTGCAGTGATGGGCACTGATAGGCTGCCCTGATGGACACTGATAGGTGCCACTGATGAGGAGGCACTGGTAGGTGGCACTGATGGGCATTGACAGGCATCACTGATGGGCACTGAAAGGCAGCACTCATATATGGCACTGTTAGGTGGCACTAACTGGCACTGATAGGCGGCACTGACTGGCATTGATAGGTGGCACTGACTGGCACTGATGAGTGACACTGAAAGGCAGCTCAGATGGGCACTGAAATGTGGCACTGATGGGCACTGGCAGGTGGCATGGATGAGCACTGAGAGCTGGCACTGATGGACACTGACAGGTGGCGCTACTGGGGCTACACAAATCATCAGGGCACACTGATCATCAGTGCTCTGATGATCTGTGTACATGTCCCCTCTGAGGAATGCTGATTACCGGCTCTCCTCTCCTCACGAGCTGTCAGCGTGACAGCTCATAGGGAGGGAAATGCTGATAACCGGCATTTCCCTGTTTACATGTGATCAGCTGTTATTGGACACAGCTGATCACATGACCGAGCCGACATCTTCGGCTCTTTCCATGGATCGGTGATCCGCTGTGTCCGAGGGACACAGCACACCGCTGATTGCCGCGCTCCGGGAGCCGCGCATGCGCGGTGAGAATGGGAGGACGTCATATGACGTCCTCCCAGAACGAGAGAACCACCTTGCATCCGTCATATTACTATATGGCGGGTGGGAGGTGGTTAAAAGATGAGTTCACTTTTACAAAAAAATAATGGATTTACAGGAGATTGAGTGGAGATTATAAAAAAGATGGATTTACAGGAGATTGAGTGGAGACTTTAACCACTAGCCTACAGGGCACTTATACCCCCTTCCTGCCCAGGCCAATTTCCAGCTTTCAGCACTGTTGCACTTTGAATGACAATTGCGAGGTCATGCAACACTGTACCCATATGACATTTTTATCATTTTTTTTGTGAGAGATAGAGCTTTATTTTGGTGGTATTTAATCACCTCTGGGTTTTTTTTTTTTTCTTAAACCAAAAACCACTGAAAATTTTGAAAAAAAAAGTTTTTTCTTAGTTTTTGTTATAAAATTTTGTAAATAAGTGATTTTTCTCCTTCACTGATGTGCGCTAATGAGGCTGCAGTGATGGGCACTGATAGGTGCCACTGATGAGGAGGCACTGGTAGGTGGCACTGATGGGCATTGACAGGCATCACTAATGGGCACTGAAATGCAGCACTCATATATGGCACTGTTAGGCGGCACTAACTGGCACTGATAGGCGGCACTGACTGGCATTGATAGGTGGCACTGACTGGCACTGATGGGTGGCACTGAAAGGCAGCTCAGATGGGCACTGAAATGTGGCACTGATGGGCACTGGCAGGTGGCATGGATGAGCACTGAGAGCTGGCACTGATGGACACTGACAGGTGGCGCTACTGGGGCTACACATATCATCAGGGCACACTGATCATCAGTGCTCTGATGATCTGTGTACATGTCCCCTCTGAGGAATGCTGATTACCGGCTCTCCTCTCCTCACGAGCTGTCAGCATGACAGCTCATAGGGAGAGAAATGCTGATAACCGGCATTTCCCTGTGTACATGTGATCAGCTGTTATTGGACACAGCTGATCACATGACCGAGCCGACATCTTCGGCTCTTTCCATGGATCGGTGATCCGCTGTGTCCGAGGGACACAGCACACCGCTGATTGCCGCGCTCTGGGAGCCGCGCATGCGCGGTGAGAATGGGAGGACGTCATATGACGTCCTCCCAGAACGAGAGAACCACCTTGCATCCGTCATATTACTATATGGCGGGTTGGAGGTGGTTAAAGGATAAGTTCACTTTTACAAAAAAATTAAAAATAATAAATGCACTTTTTTTTTTTTTGTTAGATACCTGTAAAGCATTGCACCCATGATCAACAGATTTTGGGTATAATGCCACAGTCCTACTGACTGTCTTTGTATCTGTCTGCCCATACCTCCTTTACAGGCAGCCGGTTACACTCTGACAGCTTAATAAACTACCTAGAGTGATCGACAGTTCTCTGGTAGTTCATTGAGAACTACAAGCCCACTGTCGGAACATGTAGTTTTCCCATTCACAGAACACTGTGAATGAATGAAGTGGCTGGGCCAACTGCATGCTAGCTGTCAAAACGGGGACTTGGGGGAGGGGGGGCAGTGCATTTGTTACATGCTACATGTTGCACCCTGAATAGGGGTGTAACATGTTGCAAAAGGTGAACTTAACGTTTAAGTTTTATGAGGTAACCAGTCTGTAGTTAGTTGGTAAAGACGTTGATCCTTTTCCAAGTATAGGAACCACATTGCCTTTCTGCCAATCATTAAAGAGTCTCTAAAAATTAGAAACAAATACTTAGACATAACAGAGCTTAACTTTTTGAGAACAAATGGGTGTAAGCCATCTGCTCCAGGTGCATTCTTCACCTTTATTTTGTCTAATTGTTTCTGAACCATATCAGTTTTGGTCCATTGTGGATCAGTTGGGTCTATGTCAATACTGTTCCCATTATGGACTTGAGCGCCTTCATTTTCCTTTGTATGCACAGAGCTGATGAAAGTATTTAATATATTTGCCTTCTTTTTGTCCCTAGCCTCCAACTCAAAATTATCTTGTAAAGGGCTTACATGCTCAGATATTACCTTTTTTTTTATGAACCACTTCCCGTCTGGCCGTTGTATATAAAAACGGCTGGACGGTGGCAGTGCAGGGTCAGGTAGCCATTTATAAATGGCCTCCCTGCCCCCTGCTTGTGCGTGCTCCCTGGGAGCGTGCAGCACCGCGATCCGATGCGCGCTGTGTCCTCCGGGCACAGTGAAGCACCGATCGTCGGACGGGACCTCTGTGCGAGGTGCCGATTATGTTATCACTGATTGGCCAAACAGTGATCACATGCAGAGTAGTAAGCAAGATGTCACTTCTGACATTATTGCTTACTACGTGTGAAATCTGTGAATGATCACAGAGGTCACATGGTACAAGGCTATTCACAACAGCCTTGTTCCATGTGACAAGCTGTGACCAATCACAGCTCACACAGTAGAAGGAGAAATGATTGCTTTTACAGCCTTTATGGGTGTAAAAGCAATTAGCGTAAAAAAAAAAAAAAAAAAACCTTCATCACCCCACACAAGTAGTACAGTGTCACCATGGTGACACTGTACTGCTAGGGTGACAGTATGTAAAAAAAAAAAAAAAATAATAATATAACAAAATAAAATAAAGCTTAAAAATTATAATTTTTGGTTATAAACTAATTTGGGTTATTTTTTTTTTTTTTTTACTAAAAAGATAATGGAATAAATGTTGGCCAAGATTTATGATGAAATATTATTTATTTGCATTTACATAGCAAAAAAAATAAAAATCCCAGTGGTGAATAAATGCCATCAAAATAAAGCTTTATCTGTCTCAAAAAAATGCTAAAAAAATCATATGGGTACAGTGTTGCATGACCGCGCAATTTGCATTCAAAGTGTATACTGTATTTGAAGAACTTGTGGGGGTTTGTCCAGCTTTTTTTTTTGCAACAGTTTTGAATTTTTGCTGCCTTTTACATGTTCTATTCTTTGTAACTTTTAAATGAGTGTTCCTTCAATTTTATATTTTTTAACCACCTCCCGCCTGCCATACAGTAATATGACGGATGCAAGGTGGTTCTCTCGTTCTGGGAGGACGTCATATGACGTCCTCCCATTCTAACCGCGCATTGCGCGGCTCCCGGAGCAAGCAGCGCGGTGGTGCGCTGTGTCCCTCGGACACAGCAGATCACTGATCCACGGAAAGAGCTGAAGATGTCTGCTTGGTCATGTGATCAGCTGTGTCCAATAAACACATGTAAACAGGGAAATGCCGGTTATCGGCATTTCTCTCCCCATGAGCTGTCACGCTGTGCAACAACCATCCACCCCCTAAAGAAAATATTACAAGATGCATAAGCATCCTTTTTCACTTTCACAGAAGAAGGTAAATAGAAAAACACAGACACATGAAAAAAGTCTCAACTCTTTAGCTGTCAGGCTGTGCTCTCAGGTGGCCAGACCATTTTTGCAATTCTTCACTTTTTTCATTTCAATTACAGCTTTGAGTTTGTAAATGATTCCCAAACCATACATTTTCTGGAAGCACAAGACCAGTAGACTAAAAGATTATGCTACTGGTTTTGTAGATTCTGCGATAGTTGCACAAATATTTATTAAAATAAAATATATTTTTATTAAAAATAAATTCCAATCATTATTAGTGCTCCCAAACACAAAATAACTTACAACATTTCTACTAAATTCCTATTAAATCTAACAGAATGTATTTGTAAATTTGAAATTTGTGATTTTTTTTTTTTTTTTTTTTTTTTTTATACACAAAATCCTGAAAATCATAGCCATGCAAAACAGTAAATAAGCAATCTGAAGATTGACTTCACACCTATGCATGTTTTTAATTCTCAATTGCAGTGCCATGTGCACACTGCATTGGTGTGCCAGGTGATAGTTGTATTAATTTAAATAAAAGTAATCAAAAGATGAAAAATTAGGCACTGTGATGCTTGTGCACAATGCATAACAGTGTAAGGGTGTGGGGCATGGATAAATACTGATGTGCAATGTTAAACTGTAATATGCCTACAATATGCTCTTTGGTCAGTAGATGGCAGCAAAGTACAAGAATCAATTTTGCATTGAAGTTTACTAAGACAAAACTAATGCTTATTTACCTATAAAGTTTAATTAATGCTAATTTAGGGGCTGAGTAGGACCCTCAGAAGGGTCATAGTGAACTGTAAATGCAGGTTTGAGGCTGCAATTAGGAAATTACTTACTGCATCACAAACTATCAGGGAAGGGGAGGAGTTCCGGTGCAGAGCAGGAAGTGACAGGGAGTCGGTGTCTGGCTTGTGTATGCTGAGGACGTCTGGAGAATCTGTGTGGAGCCTGGAAGAGGATTTACGGCTCACTGTATGGTCCGGTTCTGGAGTGGACCAGTGGATCAGGAAAAAGCACCAAGAGCCTGCCAAGGAACTGTAAGTGCGGCTTTGCCACAGCACATCGCACCACACGTGTTCAGTGACATTTTGGATATACCAGAAAGCTACAAGAGACATATTCCACTTTCCTTTGGATTACAAATAGTATTGCGCAATACATAGGGTGCACCCCAACGTTATATCATGCTCAGGAACATTCAGGCACAGCCAGGCTGCTTTCTGGACATTGGAGAAAGTCCGCAAGTACGGGGTTAGTGTTAGACAGTATTATTCTTACTGTATGGTTATGCGCTGTTATCCTGTTTATGGATGCTCAACTATTTGTTCACTATAACTGTTCAGTAAATGTAATTGTTGTAAAAGAATCGCTGTCTGTGTCTGTGTGGCATCGTGTACCCCCTGAATCTGTTGGCCCAGCCCTAGGTTTTCCTTCAACAGCGCACACGGGTTTGTGCGCACCATAACACTTGCCCGCTGGTGTGAATGTGCCCTTAGTGTGGTGATACACCGCAGTGTACCAACACACGCAAAGTTTATTACTGCTATGTTTGTAGTACACGTGTACATGATGTATGTGTGGGTAATTTGTGTTTTAGGCCTCATTCACGTGGACACAAAGAGACCATAGAGCATCAAGGAGTATTTTTTTTTTTTTTTTGCACCAGGAGTTAAAGGGGTTTGTGTACTGCTGTAGGTAGCAGCCTGTACAAATCAATCACAGGCTGACAGATAATGTGGTTGGAAGCATAAAATAGCATATATATTTGTTTTACAGTCCTGATGGGGGTTGGTGAAATATCAGGGGTATAAACATACCCCTGATGGTTCAATTTTGAGAAAGTGATTGAATACAAAATCATCAGTTTCTTTTACCCTTGCAAGCACAGCTGCATTGAATAAACTAACAGAATGTGCTCCATATAGAGGCTTCCTGTTCATCCACAATTTGAAGACACAGTAAACACCATTTACCAGGCTTTAGTTATGAATGAACACAGGTGTGATTGGTGGTGTTCATTCATTTAGAAAAGGAACTAGATGGTAAACATGAGAACATGTTTACTGACCCCAGAAATCTGATCCCATTGTGTGCCCACAGCTGGTGGGGTGGAAGAGGGAAGCCAGGACTGTTTTGGGAAGAAGGGGGGTGATGCAGGATCAGAGTGGCATTGGGAATACTGGGGGTGGGATAGTCAACATGTGGAGGTGGGGGAAAGGGAGGGTGCATGGGGACACAGCTGCACAGAAGATCCAGAGTTACTTGTCAATATATTTGCTAAATCAAGAGAGTGAACATTTCTTGCATACTAGTGTGTGATATTGGTGCCTTTACGATCTGTGTTCTGGGATAATACTACAACAGTGGCATCTCTTCAACTTAACTCAATCTTATGTTAATACTGCACTAACAATTTATGCCAACATTTTTTCTCCTGCATGTGTCCGTG